AGATAGATAGATAGATAGATAGATAGATAGATAGATAGATTGATAGATAGATAGAAGAAAGAGAGATATAGATATTGTAGATGGAAAAGAGAGATGATAGATATTGTACATAGACAAGATGGATGGATGGATGGATGGATGGATGGATGGATGGATGGATAGATAGATAGATAGATAGATAGAAGAAAGAGATATATAGATATTGTAGATAAGGCAGGAGAGAGAGAGAGAGAGAGAGAGAGAGAGAGAGAGAGAGAGAGAGAATAGATAGATAGATAGATATTGTAGATAGAAGAGAGAGAGATGATCATGAGAGATATTGTATGTAGACAGAAGATAGATAGATAGCCCTCTCTAAGCGGTTTACAGAGTCAGCCTCTCTTGCCCCCAACAATCTGGGTCCTCATTTTACCCACCTCGGAAGGACGGAAAGCTGAGTCGACCTTGAGCTGGTCAGGATCGAACTCCTGGCAGCCCACAGAATTGAATCTGCAATGCTGCCTTCTAACCACTGTGCCACCACGGCCCCTTGGGGGGTGGGTGGGGGATAATAAACCCCTGAGGATAACCGAAACCGATTTGGGGCTCGTGGGTGAGAGGCCTCTGAGTCAGGCTATAGGACCTCGAGGGGACCCAGCCTTTGGAGAACTTTTGTCATTCTGCCTTGCAGGGAATCACATGCAAGTGAAGGAGCGGTGCCACTATTCGCAGAACACGAAATGCACCTGCCAGCCGGGTTTTTTCTGTTCTTACCAACTGGAGGAGGATTCTTGTGACATTTGCACGAGGCACTCAACCGCACCTCCGGGTTTTAGGGTGACGCAAGTTGGTAAGACCCCCACGAGGCGAGATCGGGGCTCCTGTGTGCTGTTGCCAGTTGCGCTTCTGGTTTCTGGCGTGTACATGCATGCTGGCCAGCTGGTGGGTTTTTTGGCCTTTTTTGAGCTTTTTTCAGGTTGTTTTTGACCTATTTACAGGACGTTCTTGGGACATTTTCAGGCTGTTTTCAGGCCAAAACAGGTGTCAAAAACGGCCAAAAACAGACCTCGAAAATGGCCAAAAACAGGCCTCAAAAACAGCCAAAATATGCCTCAAAAACAGCCAAAAACGGCCAAAAACAGCCAAAAAAGCCAGGCCTCAAAAACGACTAAAACCAGGCCTCAAAAATGCTCAAAAACTGCAAAGAACGGGCCCCCAAAACAGCCCAAAATGGCCAAAAACAGCCCTAAAAATGGCCCAAAATGGCCAAAAACAGGTCTCAAAAACAACCAAAACCAGACCACAAAATGGCCAAAAACAGGCCTCAAAAACAGCCAAAATATGCCTCAAAAAACAGCCCAAAACAGCCCAAAAACCAGGTCTCAAAAACGGCCAAAACCAGGCCTCAAAAATGCTCAAAAACTGCCAAAAACAGGCCCCCAAAACAGCCAAAAACGGCCAAAAACAGCTCTCAAAAATGACCCCAAATGGCCCAAAACAGGCATCAAAAACAGCTAGAAACATCCAAAAATAGGCCTCAAAAACGGTAAAAAAAACATCTCAAAACAGGCTTCAAAAACGCCCAAAAGCAGGCATGTGTGTGCCGGCTTTGACCGGTCACTAAATGAACTGTCGTAAGTTATGGACTATCTGTACATAAATCTGTTCTTCCGACGCTGAAAAGTAGGTTTTTCTCTTGCTTTCAAATTGTGCCGAGACCCTTCAACATCTTTTATTTATTTTTACAGGCACCGAAACTCAGGACGTGAAATTTGAACCCTGTCCTCCGGGGACATTTTCATCGAAAGAAATGTCCTTGTCTTGCGTGAAATGGACCGAGTAAGGAACTTCCGGCTACTTCTCATCTTGTTTGAAACCACACCCTGTAAAAAAATCCTTCTCTTTTTTCTCTTTTCTAATAATTCCTAATTCCTTGATGGATGTTGTGGCCTAAATCCCACTATTTGGACTCCCATTGGCCCACCTAGTTAGATTTAACAGATCTGTTGTGGCCCGCCAGCAGATCCCACGGAAGATTCGGAGAGCCACCACTACCGGTTTGCCCAATCAGGGAGCAACCCACCTCTGCCTCCCTCCATCTCTCCTTCCCTCCTCTCCTTCCTTCTTTCCTTCCTTCCTTTTCTCTTTCCTTCAATGTTTCTTTTTTCCTTCTCTAATCCTTTCCTTCTGTCTTTCTCCTTTCCTTTCTTTCCCTCGTTTTCCTTCCCTTCCTTTCCCTCTTTCTCCTTCATTTTCCATTCCTTTTCTTCCCTTCATTCCTCCTTCCTCCCTTTTCTCTTTCTTTCAATGTTTCTTCTTTTCTTTCCCTAACCCTTCTCCTTCCCTTCCCTCTTTCTCCTTCACTTCCCCCCTTCCCTTACCTCTTTTTCCTTCATTTTCATTCCCTCCCTCCCTCCTCCCTCCCTTTTCTCTTTTCTTTATTTTTTTTCTTCTCTAACCCTTCCCTTCCCTCTTTCTCCTTCACTTCCCCCCTTCCCTTACCTCTTTTTCCTTCATTTTCATTCCCTCCCTCCCTCCTCCCTCCCTTTTCTCTTTTCTTTCTTTTTTTTCTTCTCTATCCCTTCCCTTCCCTCTTTCTCCTTCACTTCCCCCCTTTTCTTCCCTTCATTCCTCCTTCCTCCCTTTTCTCTTTTCTTTCTTTTTTTTCT